ACGCATGGCTGTAACTTTGGGGCATTTGTCTGAGTCGGCGCGGTGTAGAGTGCCGGTGTTGGTGTTGAATTGTTTGTTATGTTCGGCGCAATTGGTGCAGTTGTGTACTTCGGCCTTGCACTCCGCTGTAGGATGGTGAGCGGAGCACTTGGCGCATGTGGGTGTGGTATTGGGGCAGCGGCTCTTTGTGTGTCCGAAATTTAGGCAGTTTTGACACTGCCTAAATGGTGATAAGTTGTCACTGTGGACCCGCTGCATCCCTATGTTAACTCTGCCTAGGTCGGCGAACGCCTTCCAGGCAGAGGGTGTTGTGTTTAGAACCACGTTGTACAGTGTAGTGTTTCTGTTGTTAGCAATGAATTTTATAGTGAATGTGTGCTTAGTTAGTTTGATGTTTTGGTCTTTTATTGTTTTAATCAGTTCAAATTCGGTTATGGTTTTCTTTATGCCTTTAAGTATTATCATTGGATCAATCCGTTTTTCCTCTTGAGTGTTTATTTTTGTGTTATTTTGTAGTCGTGTAAGTGTGTGTAGTTTGTGCTCTTCTCTCTCGAAAACGACTTTAATTTTGTGTTTTGATAACGGGGTGACCTTTAAAGGGGCGTATCCGCCCTCTCTGAAATTAACGGTCCTGCTAATTTGTGTCAGTATCTGTTCTGTTGTGTCGAGACCCTCTCCGGACACGATGATGGAAGGCCCTGCATGGGGTTTGGGCGTGGCGGCGGCCTTAGCGTAGGATTGATGAGTCTTATGCGGGTCCGCCGACACTGGTTGTATCTCCGACGGCGCGGGTTTAGGGGATGCCTTAATGCCTGGTGTGTTCCTGCAAGGCCTTGTTCGATTCATCGAGTAACCGAGAGTGGGCCTCGAGTTTGTCTAGCAGTTGTTGTTGTGTGGTGTCTTTAGTTGGTGTAACTGTTGTATTGGTGGCCTGTGTCATGAGGGGTTTGGGAGGGGGGGGGAGGGGTGGAGGGGTCGAGCATGGCGATGACTCCAAAGAGGCCGTTTATTGCCTCAGTGATCGTGGTTTTGAGATCACCCTTTAGGTTGCAGGAGGCTAATACTGCGTCCAAGCCTTTCTTTCTATAGTTCCTCGCCATCTCCATGTATGTCGACTCCATAGGGGGAGCTGAACGGGCAAAGCACGGACTCAGGGTGTCCACTAGGGACCGCCTGGCAGCTGCTGTGGTCGTGTGAGGTGACAGAATGTCGGATTTGGATGATTTGGGAGGGGTTCTAGGTAACATGTCTGCGAAGGGGGGTGAGGGGGGTGAAATATGGACAGGTGTATTCGCCTCTTCAAGCTGAGTTGATTGATACCCAACTCGAGGGGGTGGGGGTAGGGGGGAAGATTTTGGCGCGGTAGGGGGGGGAAACCTGTATTGTGGGGTGGAGGGGGGTTTATGAGAGGAACAATGTACTATCACACACACTATCAAATAGAACTCGCCGAGCCGGTTTTAATAAGCCCAAGCTCGATGGGTTTAGAGTAAAAATTGAAAATTATTAAAAATCGAAAAATATGGGGCTGGTAATCCACCCTACCTTGAGTTTGAGACCAGGGTTGCTCAGCAGCTGTTGCTAGTAGGGCAGAGGTGTTTGATGTTTTCTGTTAGCCCTCGTCGAGATCTTGCAAGTAGAGATGGAGTTTGAGCAGTTCCAGCTGGTCGCCTGGTGACTTGGTGTCCAGTTGGGCAGGTGTAAATGTGTGCTATGAGATTTGTAGTTGGTCTGATGGAGTCTTGAGTGGGCTGTTAGATGATAGTAGTTTCCAGTTTTTGAGAGGTGTGGATCCCCTGGAAACCCTGGATTCCAGGCTATTTCTGGTTGTAGCTCGTAAGTTATTGGGCGAATGTTGCCGATCCTGGTGTCAGTCGATTGCTTATTTTTTGTACTTTGTCCCTGTTTTAATTTTGTGTTGGTGGTGTAATGTCTGAGGGTGGTTCACCCCCAAAAACTGTTTTCTTGTAGTTTGAGGGGATATTCCTCATCCGATTTGGACGTCCGATATGTCTTTAGTTGCCTTTCCGTCTAGCGCTTCTAATGAATGTAAAATATGAATCCTATCTCTAGGGGCTGCAGGCTGGGCGATAAAACCCCTGGTTTGGTCTCTAATAAATCAGCCCTTATTCCGAAAATTTAAAATTGGTTGTCAAACGATAGCCCTTGATGAGGACAATCTTTTTAAGCTATAAAAACATGTAGTTATCGATCCAAATTAAAAGTTATTCACCTTTTAAGGGTTTTTGCTCCAGATTATCTTCAATTTTGAGTCCTTATCCTCAAATTTTTAGTCGAAATGTAGAGCTTAATTAGCTCTACAACACTGCACTACTTTGATTGATTGATTTTTTTAAGTTATAAACACACTTGTCGTGTCGGGGGGGCCCAGTATCTGGAGCGACCGCAACTATGCCGTCGCAAAGGGGAAGCAAATAAGGAGGTAAAACAGGCTGGCCTTTATTTTGAAGGCCGGTCTCTGGAGAGGGCATCAGCGCCCAGCGGAAACGAGTCCGCTAGTCCCTGGCAAGCTGGAGAGATCATTTGATCTCAAAGGTGAAACTGAGGGACCTTGCTTTGTGCGGGAGTGACTAGGGAGGAGGTCCATTTTATCGCGCTACTGCGCACTTGTCTCTGGGTCTCGGCTGCTCTCGACTCTTTCTTTCGTAAGAACCATGCGAGATGCAGTGTAGATGTATGTATGTTCTGTTTTCTGGGGGGCAAAGGGGGGAAAAGAAGGGGAAGAAAAAAAGCATCTTTTGGCGATATGGTCAGCGTATGGTGGAGGACGCTCGACCATTGTTTTGTTTAGTTAGAGATTGTTTGTGTTCGATTGGAGCAGATTGGAGGAGGTTGCCCTATTGGGCAATAAGAGGAAGGAAACCTTGATACAAAAATCCCCTAACGTTCGGCGCTGATGAGCGTGGCGTCGGACACCTAATCCCCTCTTTATGAGGAATTGAGGTCGTCGGCGGGCAGGTCAATGCCTAGCGCCAAAAAACGCGTCCCCGGATCCCTCCGGAGTGACGGCGAGGACTCGCTACAGCTTGGGCACTCGGCTGTGGTACATGGGTCTTAAAGAGGGCCACAGGGGAGCGACCCCTGTTTAAATAAAAGCAAGCATGAGTTTTAATACACGTTTAACTACCCCAGGTGGGTTAAATCCCACCCATGGCGATGCCATGGCTAAGCCCCACCGTACTCTGGGGGGGGGCCAAACTCATGAGAAAGAGAAGGAGGAGAGAGGAGTAGGATGTGGAGATGTGAAGGAGAATGCAAGGGAAGAGAGCGAGATGTCCAACCGGAGTACGCCTGTCCCTCTCAAAGAGTGTAGAGTAGTCTTGGTGCGAACTCCACTACCCTCATCGAGTCCAAATAACATCATAGTAGACCGAGAAGTTGAGGCTATTACCGATATCGAAACAAATATTGGACGACAAATGATGGAGGCCAGTCTGGAGACGAGTTGTGAGATGCTCAGCGCTGACGCATCGTATGCCTCCATCAACTCACCACATGTACAAGGACGACCGGCGCGATTCTTTCGTCGGAAAAGAAGGAAGGTGGAATGTAGTTCTAGCGACACTGGAACCCCTCACTCGACGAGAAAGTCCCGGGCTGCCTTAACTAAACTGCAACGAGTAGAACGGGAGAAGAGGACTGAAGCGGAATTGCTAGAGGCGACTCCCAGTCCCCCAACAAAAATAAGTAGTACAGCGCAAACGGAACGGCTCGCTAACCCAAAGGTGAGGATTGAGGCCAGCCTCGCCGCCGTGGATAAAGTCGCCCGAAATTCGAGCAACCTAAAGGGCACCTTTGTGTCAGCGCTTAAACAGGCGGTAACCTCAATCCGCAGAGACGCCGAAGAGCTAGCTGACCGTACAGTCAGCGAGGAGACGAGGGCGCTCCGAAACGAAAATGAGAGGTGTTCGGGGTTGGGATAAATTATTAAGATATTTAAAGGGATAATTATTTATTTTATGAGCAATGGACTAAACTAGTGGGGTGAGATGAGATTAAGAGTCGCGCCCGGTACGAGGTCTAAATGCGAACTAACTTAACTGAATATAATAAGATATAATGGAAATGAACGCACAAGCAAATCATATTGCATGGTGTCATTTACATTGCAAATACCTGTACGGTTGTAAATCGTACATGTTCCCGGGGAGGAAAAGATGAGGGTTAGTAAAATGGAGGATGAACTTAAGACTAACAAGGTGATACACAAATTTTAATATTAAATGTTTATATGTTATGATTAGTTGTGGGTGAGAAAATGAATTACATTTATCATATTAGCTACAAAGATTCAGTTATATTTAATTCCGGAAGGGAAAACACACGAAAGATCGGCGAGGAAGCTCGATCTTGTTTATTAACACTTTTATTATTATGATAAGAATGCCTTTTTTCCCTAACTTCACACTCACTCACAACACTTTCACTTTTCACGGGGTGTGTAACTGTACTGAGTTTGACACGAACTTAGTATTGAAAGGTAAAATAATGTTAAGGATAAAACCATAGCAGAGAAAGAGATGCCGCTGAAATTATTCGCTTTAGGCTTCTTTTCATTGACCTTCTCATGGTTTAAAGATTGATTATTATTATTTGTAGGTAGAAAAGATAACTTAACGACTGAGCGTTTAATAGAACCGTTCTTGGTTTTAAGCGTGACGACTCTTACCAGCCCGTCCCTTTCGGGATGCAGCTCTACAACACGCCCTAAAGCCCATTTACCGGGCGGAAGATTTTCCGATTTTTTGATGACTATATCGTTCAAGTTGAGATCTTTTTGAGGTCGTTTCCACTTTGATCTAATAGATAATTGTGAGAAATATTCATTCTTCCATTTGAACCGAATATTATGATAAATTTTCTGAGTTAAGTGCCATCGAGTTCTAAGATCATTTTCTTGTGTTTGTAACCATCGAGCTATTTTAAATTGCATTATATAGGATATATCGGTTTTTATTTTATTCCATTCTAAGACTAATTTATGAGGCACCGACTGATCCCATCCTAGATCAGACTTCCAAGTTTCTTGAAATACAATTTTAAGTTTTGTAGTGACTGGTGCTAACCAGCCCGAAGGGTCATAAAATTTTGAGATTTCGGACAATAATTGTCGCTTAGTAGGGGTAATATTTGGGATAGAATTAATAGGATAAAAGATAAATTCGTCGGCATTGGGATTCCAACGAAGGCCTAAAGTTTTAGTTGACTCCTGGTGCTTAAAGTCGAATTCTTTTTCGGAATCGTTCATATCTTCTAAGAGAACAGGTAAGTTTGAACGCCATTTTCTAAGATTGAAACCTCCAGATTTGAGTATTTTAATTAAATCGTTCTTCAGCTCTATTGCTGTTTGTGCAGAGTGAGTACCATGCAACAGATCGTCCATGTAAAATGAGCTTTCTAACACAGCAGGTGCGATACTGTAAGGATAATTTGATCGTTCATCGATTGCAAGTCTTTTCAGGATCATCATGGCCAAGAAAGGTGCGGCCTTAGTTCCATAAGTTACAGTGGCTAGCTGAAATTCACCTAAGGGTTGGGATTGATCATCTCTCCAAATAATCTTCTGGAATTTTTGATGTTCTGAATGAAGCCAAATATTGCGAAACATTTTCTCTATGTCGGCTGTAAAACCATATTTAAATTGTCGCCATTTTAAGATTAGTGTTTGAAGGTCTTGTTGTAGATTTGGCCCCCTACACATAAGATCATTAAGGCTAAATCCACTCGAAGTTTTCGAAGAGGCATTAAAAACAACTCGCAATTTCGTAGTTGATGATTCCGCTCGTTGTACACAATGGTGCGATAAGTAGCAACCCGACTCTACGGCGGCGCGTGACACAACGGGTATCATGTGTCCGAGCTCTCTGTACTCCGATATAAATAATTTATAATCACGAGCTAAATAAGGTTTTTTAATAAGTTTATTTTCCAATTGAATAAATTGAGCGATAGACTTTGACTTCGATTCGCCCAATTTTTCCTCGAGATTTTCTTTAAAAGGTATTTTCACAACGTAACTGCCGTCGTCACGTCTTGAGGTTGTATTCTGAAAAAACTCTATACAATTTTGATCTTCCTGTGACATATTTAAGGGTTCATGAATATCTTCCACTTCCCAAAACCTTTGGATATCGTTATTAAGGATTATATTACACTGATAGGTTTTATAATTACCGGTTATTATGCATCCCAACTGCGTTTGTTGCGCAATCGGAAACCTTTCTTGAAATCTACAAATACCGTCCAAGATAATATCAGAATAAACATCAGCGCCGAATAATATATCAATAGGGCTACTTTTATAAAATTCTGAATCAGCTAATTTTATATGATTAAGCTCAGGCCAATTTGGTTTTGGCAGGGTATAGCTCGGTAAGTTCCTTACAAGTTTTTTCATAATAAATACATCCGTGTTAAAGGTATAATCATTGACTATCGATAAACACTTGATAGAGATTTTGCCCTTGCAATTGTTTTCTGTATTTCCTATCCCAGAAATGTAACCATTACATTTTTGTCGAGGTATTTTTAATAATTGAGCAGCATTTTCACTGATAATTGAGATTTGTGAGCCCTGATCTAAAAGAGCTCTCATATTTTTATAAGATCCATCCGCTGCCTGTATCTTAATAATGACAGTGGCAAGTAATATTTCGGCAGGGTCACTTGGAAGAGATACTAATGTGTTAATTTCTTGTTGTTGAGGTAAATGTTTCACAACCCGGGGCACGTGTAACCTAGATCGTGAAACGTCCGGTGTCATATTATCTTTTGTAAAACATTCATGTAAAATTGTATTATGATTTTTATTACATTCCTTGCACATTAATTGCGAAAGGCATTTTTTACCTTCATGATAATGTAAACAGTTGATACAAAGGTTCAATTTTGCAATAGCATTTCTTCGTGCGATAGGCTGCATATTTAATAATTTTTGGCATAAATGTATACGATGATCGCTTGAATTACACACCGGACACACCTTGCGTTTTTCAATAATTTTGTTACTGGAATGTGTCGGTTGCGAAATAACCTGATTTGTAGAATAAGTATACTTAGGATTATTAAAAATTTTTCGCAGGTGATGATTGATTATTATTTAAGTTTTTTGAAGGTTTATATTGATCGAAGTTTTGATATGATACTTTTGGCGTTTGATTTTCTTGTTTCTTCCGTGATGTTTCTAGGGTAAACTTAGTTTCTAAAAACTGCAAAAAATCTTGTAATACGGGTAATTCTCTCGGCGATTTCAAAGACTGTATATATTCATTGTACGTGTCTGCGTCTAACTTCTGAGACAATATACATACAAGGAAGGGATCCCAGGAAGAAACGTTAATTCCAAGATTTTCTATCGCATTTATACTCTCGTTTGTAACATCGTGAATGCGTTTGATATGATTATACGACTGGTATTGAATATTAGGAATATTTAAGAGATTGTTAAGGTGAGATGTAAAGATTAGACGCTTATTATCATAGCGATGACTGAGAATATTCCAGCTAATGAGATAATTATCTGAGCTTACCTGGAGATGTTGAATCAACTTCTCAGGTTCACCCTTAACCTTACTTTTGAGAAATTGTAATTTCTGCGCATTTGAAAGAGATGGGTTACTATGAATAGTTTCCGTAAAGAGATCTTTGAAGGAAACCCATTGGTTATAATTTCCCTCGAAGGTTGGTAACTCCATTTTAGGCGTTGTTTTCTCGATGTGTGATACCGACCACATCTTTTTATTGATATCCTTCTTAACTTTAATGTAATATTTTTCGTAATTTGTAAATTGCTCTTCATATTCTCGGTTGGAACCACAAAGTTCATTGTCCAACTCCCAATGTAAGCTATCAATCGCAGTCCAACGGACTTGCAAGGTCTTTAGGATGTCTTCTAACTCCCACTTTTCCGAGATAAGGTCAAGTTCTATACTCTTGGCAGTTCTCAGAAAAGCTTTAAAATTTGTAGTTTGTTTTCTCATGAGCTCTTCTGTTTTACTCATATTAGAGTTATTTTTGAGAGATATTTCCTGAGATTCATTGGAGGTCGATGCGTTAGAGGTAGACGGGGCTTGAAACGTTGGAGGTTGTAATTCAGGGGATTTTGTAATGCTTGCCAAAGGCTTATAATTTATTAAAGTTGTCTTAATATTACCATATTTTTTCTTAATCTGCTCGTATTTATTAAAAGTAAAATATTCATGAGACTGATCACTAAAAGATAAAAGTGTCATATGGTTATTATGAATATCTGTAAAATATTGTTCTAACGTTTCTAAACGACGACGTATATAATCGGGAGTCTTTCGCTCCGCTCCATCCTTCTTAAAGTTGATATAAAGCTTATCCACTGCGTCCACCAACTGCTGTTGGATAGCTAAAATATCTTCCATTGTGGACATAATTAAAGATTATCAGAGATAACAATATAACCTTACTTGTTCAGCTGATAAGTTGCTCAAGATATCCTCGCAATACCTGCAAGGTTGTACTGAATCCGAGATGTAGTGTGCCTTCTTAAGGCACCGAGGTCATGAAGTAAAGAGATGTAGTGCTTTCCTAAGGCACCGAGGTCACGAGGTGAAGAGATGTAGTGTGCCTTCCTAAGGCACCGAGGTCATGAAGTGAAGAGATGTAGTGTGCCTTCTTAAGGCACCGAGGTCATGGAGTAAAGAGAAGTAGTGCTTTCCTAAGGCACCGAGGTCACGAAGTGAAGAGATGTAGTGTGCCTTCCTAGGGCACCGAGGTCACGAAGTGAAGAGATGTAGTGTGCTTTCCTAAGGCACCGAGGTCACGAAGTGAAGAGATGTAGTGTGCCTTCCTAGGGCACCGAGGTCACGAAGTGAAGAGATGTAGTGCGCCTTCTTAAGGCACCGAGGTCATGAAGTAAAGAGATGTAGTGCTTTCCTAAGGCACCGAGGTCACGAGGTGAAGAGATGTAGTGTGCCTTCCTAAGGCACCGAGGTCATGGAGTAAAGAGAAGTAGTGCTTTCCTAAGGCACCGAGGTCACGAAGTGAAGAGATGTAGTGTGCCTTCCTAGGGCACCGAGGTCACGAAGTGAAGAGATGTAGTGTGCTTTCCTAAGGCACCGAGGTCACGAAGTGAAGAGATGTAGTGCCTTCCTAATGCACCGAGGTCACGAGGTAAAGAAATGTAGTGCTTTCCTAGGGCACCGAGGTTACGAGGTGAAGAGATGTAGTGCCTTCCTAAGGCACCGAGGTCACGAGGTGTACAAATGTAGAGGTATATTGCCTTTCTTAGGCAATGTGATTAGGATAAAAGAGGTGTATCCATAAATCGTAGTTCTAGATGTATTCTTTTGAAACGCAGGTATCAGTATAACACACACACTAAGCACAATATTGCGAAAGTACACGCGCCCTGATCCTGCCACAAATACGACTAATGGCTCGAAGGACCAATGTTCGGGGTTGGGATAAATTATTAAGATATTTAAAGGGATAATTATTTATTTTATGAGCAATGGACTAAACTAGTGGGGTGAGATGAGATTAAGAGTCGCGCCCGGTACGAGGTCTAAATGCGAACTAACTTAACTGAATATAATAAGATATAATGGAAATGAACGCACAAGCAAATCATATTGCATGGTGTCATTTACATTGCAAATACCTGTACGGTTGTAAATCGTACAAGAGGCTTCGTGGACAGGTGGAAGCACTTCAAAAGGAAATGGCTGAGTTGAGAACCCTGATCCAAGAGTGTTCCTGGAAACCGGTGCATAAAGAGCAACCACGGAAATCCTCACCATCTCCGCAGCTACCACAACTTTTGGCCGAGCTCGAAGGTCGTTTAATGAGACAAATGGGCGAATGTCTTAGTGCGAGACTCGCCAACCTGGAGCCTCGCCTAAATGCGGAACCAAAAATTCGACCACCATTAGCAGCGGATCCGATTACAACTGGGGACTCTACGCCGAAGAGCATAGGAGGAGACTCGCTAGAGCAGAAGCGGAAACCTAGGAAAAGAAGGAAACTGCGGGGACTTGATGCTAACAATGCACCCGATGCCCTAAGTGCGCAGATTCCACCAACCCAGAGCAACCCGGAGGCCACTGGCGAGCAGGAGTGGAAAACAGTGACCAGGAAGCGCAAACAGGCCAAGAAGGGGAATGCAACTAGCAAGGATACCCCAACCGCTAGCATCGTAAAGCCCGCAGCAACGACTGTTCAACGGCCACGAGTCAAGCTGAAGGGCCCAAGATCTACGGCCGTTGTACTTACGATCACTGAGAATGAACAGGCAATGTCTTACGCCTCCGTACTACGTGAGGCAAAGGAAAAAATTAATTTGAGTGATCTGGGCATTGAAGCCGTCAAGTTTAAACGGGCGGTGACGGGAGCGGTGATCTTAGAGCTACCTGGATCACACAGTGGAGCCAAGGCCGATGCCCTTGCCAGGAAATTGAAGGATATCTGTCCTAGCGGGGTGAACGTGTCGCGACCTGAAAAGTGTGCCGAGGTTCGAGTGGCTGGCCTTGATGATTCAGTCACGTCAGACGACATCAAAATGGCTATAGCGGAGAAGGGTGGCTGTAACCGGGAGCAAATAACGGTGAGTGAGGTTCGGCCGGACAGGACTGGTTTGTTTGGGGCCTGGGTCCGTTGTCCGATCGTTGCGGCTAAACAAATTTCGGAGGGTCGACTGCTCATAGGCTGGGTCGCAGCTAGGGTTACTATCCTGGAACGCAGAGATATAAGGTGTTACCGGTGCCTTCAAAACGGGCACGTAGCCAGCAGGTGCACATTTGGTACGGATCGTAGCGGTCTCTGCTACCGCTGCGCACAACCAGGTCACCGGGCCGCGACTTGCGTGGGCAAACTTATGTGCGTCCTTTGCCAGGAAGCGGGCCGAAAGGCTGACCATCGGCTGGGGAGTGCTAAATGTCCGGCCCCTAGCGCCAAAGTTGCAAGAAGAGAGAGGCCGCGGCACAACAACGTTCCGAACGAGTCAGCCCCACCGGACGGGGAACCAATGCACTTAGATGGAAACGTGAATGCCTAGCACAACCCTTAGATTCCTCCAAGGTAACCTTAACCACTGTGCCAATGCCCAGGATCTCCTGACACAAAGCATGGCACAGTGGTCCATCAATGTCGCCATAATGTCTGAACCGTACATCTCAGACTTGAGGACCGTATCTCAAAGACAAAATTGGATTGTGGATAGGGAAGGCCTCGCGGCCGTTATACTCGACAATGACCGGGTGGCACTTTCAGGACCGCACCGAAAGGGTCGCGGCTGTGTCGCCGTCCGAGTCTCAGAGAATCTTGTCGTAATAAGCGCCTACTGTTCTCCAAATAAGACGCTCATCGAGTTCGAGCGGTTCCTAGTCGAGATAGGCGCACTGGTCGATTGGGCCCGCCCCCACGACATAATCGTCGCCGGTGACTTTAACGCGAAGTCGGCTGCGTGGGGGACGCTGGATGACCGTGGACGAGGACGGGCCCTGTTACGATGGGCCGCAATGTATAATTTGACTGTGCTAAACAAAGGCTCCGAGCACACGTGCGTACGCAGAGCGGGAGGCTCCATCGTTGATGTCACTTTTGCAAGTTCCTGTCTTGCTCGTCGCGTGGAAGATTGGGAGGTTATGACAAAGGTAAAAACATTGTCGGACCACAGATACATCCATTTCCGAATCCCTCCATTATCGTGTATCGCTCCAGCTAGACAGGATCTCATTCCGTCGGAGATCGGCCCTAGATGGTCGCTGAGGTCGTTGGATAGAGTCGTGTTCGAGGAGGCGACAATAGTTAAGTCTTGGTGTTCCGGCCCGATTAGGAATACTGATATCGAAAATGAGGTTCGGTGGTATACGAGAGTGTTAGCGGACCTTTCAGATGTGTCTATGAGCCGCGTACGAGTTTTGAGGCCGAGGAATGGGGTTTACTGGTGGTCCGACGAACTGGCTGTTCTTCGATCTTTCTGTGTGAGGTCACGAAGGGTATTTACGCGGTATAGGCGTCGACCACAAACACGTCGCAGTCAGGACGAAGAGGAGCGGCTGTACGTAGCTTATCAGGCTGCAAAAAGGGATCTGAGGGTGGCAATGGCAAGGGCCAAGGAAGAAGCTTGGAATGGGTTCCTTAATACGTTGCAAGAAGACCCCTGGGGCCGTCCCTTTCGACTTGTAATGAGCAAATTGCGACCCCGGGCGCCGCCACTGACGTCCAGCATGCAACCTTCGCTTCTCGACTCAGTGGTGGCCACTTTGTTTCCAGGTGGAAATGGGCGAACACCTGCACAAGCGCACCCGTGCTCGATTCCAGGCGAAGAGTCGATGCGCGTGACGCGCGAGGAATTGGATGCAGCATTGGCAAAGGTCGTGGCCAAGAACACAGCCCCAGGCCCTGACGGCCTTCATGGAAGGGTGTGGGCTCTCGCCCTTAAAGACGAGGAAATGGCTTGGAGGTTCTGCGGCTTGTTGACGCGGATCATGCAGAAGGGAGAGTTTCCTTCTGCCTGGAAGACTGGGAAATTAGTGCTGATTAAGAAACCCGGCAAAGCAGAAACATCTCCCTCTGCTTACCGCCCAATTGTATTGCTGGATGAGAGTGGCAAAATTCTGGAGCGGATCATGGCCAAAAGGATAAATACACACCTGGAAACTATCGGACCAGATCTGCACAGTGCCCAGTTTGGATTCCGGCGTTCGCGGTCAACTGTGGATGCAATCGCAGAGGTCCGAGAAATAAGCGAGGAGACCACAGGGCAGGGTGGTGTTGCAATGGCGGTATCCCTTGACATTGCCAACGCCTTCAACACCATTCCTCACGAGGCTATTCTGCGAGGTTTAGTGCATCATGGAATACCATTATATCTCCGGAGGCTTGTAGAGTCGTACCTCCTTAATCGTAGAATTGTGTTTCCTGGTAGGGATGCTTGGAGATGCTACCGAGTCACATGCGGTGTGCCACAGGGTTCTGTTCTCGGGCCTCTGCTGTGGAACATAGGCTATAATTGTATTCTTCAAGCATCGTTGCCCTTAGGTGTTCGGGTCATCTGTTACGCTGATGATACCTTGGTTGTGGCATCTGGTGGTACCTACGTCGAGGCGAGTCGTCGAGTTACTGCTGGGGTAGCTCAAGTCGTAGCGCAGATAAGACGCCTCGGCCTGCGTGTCGCACTGGAGAAGTCCGAAGCGATCTGTTTTCACGGCCCGAGGCGAGCGCCTCCAGCGGGAGCGAACATCGTCGTTGCAGGAGTGTCCATCGAGGTAGGAAAGTCCTTGAAGTATTTGGGCCTGGTACTTGATTCCCGGTGGACATTTCGATCGCACTTCGCGGCACTTGCCCCAAAGCTCACCGCCACGTCACTGGCTCTCAGCCGGATTATGCCGAATCTAGGCGGGCCGAGTGAGGGGTGTCGCCAACTCTATTCCTGCGTTGTTAAATCCCAAGCACTGTACGGGTGCCCAGTATGGGCTGACAAGTTGTCCCGGAAAAACAAACAACTTCTCAGGCGAGCCCAAAAATCAATTTTGATCAGGGTTGCGCGGGCGTATCGCACGGTGTCATACGATGCCGTGTGTTTGATCGCAGGTTCCGCGCCCTGGCACCTCGAGGCTACCGCTCTAGCTGATGTCTATTGGCGCAGGGCTGATGCGCGTGAAGCGGGGGCTGAACCAGCCACTGAGACCATACGCTCCTGGCGCCTGGACGCCTGCCAGCGCGTGATACTGGACTGGAGGGCCGAGTTGGACGGTGCACAAATGGGAAGGTACACGGTAAGTGCGATCTTGCCCGTCCTGAACGAGTGGCTGGAGAGGAAGCGTGGTTCTTTGACTTTTCGCCTGGTGCAGGTCATATCGGGACACGGCTGTTTTGGCAAATACCTTCACCGCATCAGAAGGGAACCGACCTCTGCGTGTTTTTTTTTTGCACCTAATAGGCCTACCTTCCCCGGCTACTTTATCGCCGGGGGCGTTGTCTAAGCTACACTTCCTTCCTTTCTTTCATGCATCCTCTAAATAATTGGCAACACAACTTCAATTTTTATTAGGTTTTTACACAGGTAATATCACATTCTTTCTTACTTATTAGCCTACTTAACATTATTTCCTTAAATTATTTACACATTCCTATCTAGACACGTGGCCCGCGAGGCGGGCGGCTTTCACTTCTCCGTGAGTATCCTCATAATACCCATTAGCAAGTGGGCACCGGCCGCCTCGCGGTCCCCGCCCCGGCTTTACTCTTATTGAATCTGGCTGTTCTTTTAGTAATTTTTATGCAAAAATCCTCCAGGTGCGATCTGTTACAGGCTAGCATGTCGGGCAGTCCCTGGAGACTAAGCGACATGCCTGTCATCTGTTCCAGGTCACATCTGGAGGAGGCAAAAATGGGGCACTCCATAAGTAGGTGGGGGATGGATTGTTCCACCCCACTCTCACATTCGCAATCTCCTCTTTCCTTCAGCCTGAAACGGCACAGGTATTCGGCAAACGGCCCATGGCCTGTGAGAATCTGTGCCATCTCTGGACTGTATCTCCTCTCTCTTATTTGTTTCTGTGCAGCAGCTACGTTCCTCAGGAACAGTTTTGTTGTTCCCGCTGTTTCTCCCTCTTTATACCGCCGGTCCCATTCCTCAATTGTCTTCCTTCTAATCTCTTTCCTAATGTATGACAGCGGGTACTCTACGTGAGCTGCTTTGACTTTCGAGGTCTCCGCAGCGGCTCTCGCAAGTTCGTCCGCCCTCTCATTCCCCTCCGTGCCGACGTGCGCTTTCACCCAGTGGAGTTTAATGTTCTGGCCCTTTTTAAGGCTCTCCACCAGGTGTCTGCGGATCTCGACTACTCGGGGGTTTCGAGAGCGTCCGCCCGCAATCGCCTCGAGCGAAGACCGCGAGTCGCTGCAGATGTTCACGTCAGTTCCCGCTATCATTGCCTCCCTCACTGCACCAACGAGAGCTGTCAGCTCTGCTTGATACACGGTGCAGTAAGGGGCCATCTTTATGTTTTTCCACTTCTTTTCCCTTCCATTCTCCCATTTGGACCAGGCGGCTCCTACTCCTCGTTCCGTCTTACTTCCGTCCGTGTAAATTGCCGTTTTGTTGTCATTTTGAATTAGGCCAGGGTCATTGGTGATGGCGAAGCTAATATCCGGTTTTTCCGCGGGATGGGGTTGTTCTAACGCAGGTACGGCTCGCTCAATCCGGTCTCCTTCGCGTATGAACGGAGACGACCCCCTTCTGGCCTCAAACATCGCGGCGGCTTCTTCCACCCTGAGGTCGAGGGGCAGTATCCCCGCCAATAGCGTCGCGGAATTTAGCGATGCCGTCCTGTACGTCTTCGCTATTTTTTGTGCGAAAGCCCTCTGCACCGTCTCCAGTTTCTTCCTTTTGCACAGTTTCTTAACTGTCGGTGCCCAGGCTGCCGACGCGTATGTTACTATCGGCTCTATGACGGCTTGGTATACCTGGTGAACCATGTCTCCCGTCATTCCCCATTCCAGCTTCGCCATTCTAGCTACTTTTTTGTGTATGTCTGCCGCCTTTCTCGTGACATTTTGCACATGCTTGTTAAACGTTAGCCCTTCGTCTATAGTCAACCCCAGTAATTAAATTTCCTTTTCTAATGCTATATCCTGTCCATTCATTCTTATTCTTGGGGTATCGAACTTCAATCTTCGCGTCAGGACCATTGCTTTGGTTTTTTGTGGCGCGAAGTTGAGCTTGTTCTCGATACCCCACTTCCTCACATACTCGAGGGCAACGTTCGCTCGGTTCTCGATGGAGTGCGTGTCAGTTCCGCTGAACATCAGCACAACATCGTCTGCGAAAGCTTGTGCATATGTCCCAGGTTAGGTTAGGTTAGGTTAGGTTAGTTTTTTTTTTTTTTTTTTACGAGACCCTAGTAAGGCCTACCTCCCCCGTCTACTTTATCGACGGGGCCGTTGTGCATCTAAGCTCCTATGAGTAAAACTACAGAAAAATTAGGTTCTTTATTGAGGATTAAACTTATTCTAGTCTATTTTAATTCATAACTTTTACTACATTTTATTATTCTATACTTTAACTTATATTCTAATATTCTATGGGTCTGTCGCAGGGGTCGTTTGATGAATATCAGTTATAATTGTTGTTATTTATATTTTTAGTTAAAGTATACAACAATAACATCTACATCTACATAGGAGAAACATTTATTTCACATACGTGTTTTGGTGCTTAAATAATGATAATAATTATATAATGCTGCAACGTGGTTTGTACATGGTTTGTACACAATAGAATTTCAATTTACAATTTTTATATACTATGATTACTAACTAAAATATTTACATTCTTGTTTAGCTTAATTTACTCTTATTTTCTTTAAGTAATGTTGTGACTATTTTTGTCGCATAATTTTCAAAGTGGCGTCTAAGTTCTGCATTGTTCATTACTTGCGACAAGTCTTCCATCGTTATTTTACCCGTTCCGATAACTTGTTCGAGGTCCAGCCTTGCTAGTGCGTGGCGCGGACACTCAAGAAGACAGTGTCTTACGTCTTGGGTGCTTTGTTGGTCGCAAGGGCACGTCGGGTCCCCTTTACACTTAAACCTATGCAGGTATTCGGAGAACCCACCATGCCCCGTGAGCATCTGCGTTAGCTTATTAGTAAGTCTGCCATTCTTGAAAGCCCTGTACGCTTGCTCCGGTGATGAGAAGAAGATCTTTGTGACAGATGCATTTTCGGAGTTCTGATATCGTGTTTGCCACTCCGCCTTGGACTTTTCTCTGAGTAGACGTTTTACATACGATATGGGGCAGGTGTTGTAGTGTGGTTTGCATTTAAGGTTAAGGGCTGCTTCTTTTGCAGCCGTGTCTGCAGCTTCATTTCCCTGGAGTCCTGCATGTGCTTTAACCCAGTATAGTTGGACTTCTTGACCTGCCTCTCTACAGCTCTCAATCTTCTTCCTTGCTTCGTGGGCGAGTCGGTTTTTGGTTCTCGTGCTGATTATCGCCTCTAGAGCCGACCTTGAGTCGCTTAGAATGGCGGCTTGCCTTTTTCCCGATTTTCTGAGTACCTCCAGTGCCGAGTTTATTGCGAGCAGCTCCGCCTGATACACCGAGCAGTGGTTTGCAAGTTTGTACTTTTTAGTTTTATTCTCACCGTCGTCTATCAATACTACCGCCGCGCCGGTCTTTCCTTCTATTTTACTGCCGTCTGTGAAAATCTTGGTCTCAGTTTCAATAGCTGCTATCTCTTCCTCCGTATGAAGCGGTGTGTAGCCTGTTCTCAGAGCTTTGGCTGGGTGTGGGCCTTCGGTATATGGAACCTTCTTTTCGACTTCTATGTCTTCTCTTTCATCATTTTTTCCAGATCCCCACCATATGTTTTTGGCGTTCCCATCGCCTGCTATGATACTTCTTTTCTTTCTTATTTTTCGGCTAAGTTCTTCTAGGTAGGGTTGTATGGCGTGGGGTTTCGGTTCGAAGTAGAAGGAGGTTAGATGAACTTCTCGTGGCCAGTTACCCACTTTCATTGTAACAATATTTGGGGTAGGTGTGCCCACTAACTCAGCCTTCAGGGATTGATCTAAGACTATTATGGCCGCCTTGGTCCGTACAGCGCTATCTAAGACCTGAAATACCCTTGCTCCGGCATAGCCTTTGATTTGTGTTCCTGCACCAACATATGGCTCCTGTACAAGAGCTAAAGCCGCTTTCCGTTTGACTGCTTCCTGCATAAGTTCTTGCATTGCCAGGTCCTTTCTTTGTAGATTTACTTGTATCAATTTGTACGTATGTTGTGTTGGTTGGACTCTGGCTTAGCAGTATGCATAACTCTGTCTGGCCGCTCTGTCCCATCCCTTCCTGACTGGGCAGTCGGTGCTGAAGGCACTATGGTCATTGTTGCCTGTTTCTCCTTTGTCTAAGCAGTTTAAGCACTTTGGTGGTTTGCCTTCATTGTAATCTGGGCATTTTTGTCTTAAATGTGGTCCGCCGCAGTGGCTACATAGCTCACTTTCTTGCTTGCAGAACTTCCTGCTGTGACCGAATCCTAGGCATATTGTGCACTGCACGAGTGGCGACTGGTCCTCCACCCACACTCTTTGTATGTCCACGTGGATTTTTCCGGCTGTCGTAAGAGCTCTCCACATATTTGGCGAGACTTGTAGCACTACGTGGTTTTCATGTGGGTTTCGGCATTTCCGTCTGTACTTTTCTGCAATGTGCCAATCTTTTTCGTCTTGTAGGTGAGCCGTAATCCCTTTATTTTGATTCTTTAATGATTCGACTATGTCTTCAATTGATATATAGCTAAGAACATTTTTAATCTTTACCAGGGGGTTTTTATTAGACACATCTTTGACTTTTAAGGGGATTTCCCCTTGTGTCAGCCTTTGTTTAACGCTTTTTATTTCTCCCTCTGTTTTGCAACCTACCACGACCTTTCCATCTTTAGCCTTCTTAATTCTTTCTACCTGAATTCCGCCCTCTTTTGCTCTTAGGTTTTTTCTAATGTGTTGCAGAGTGACTTCCGACGTATCGGTTGTGTTATTGGGTTCTACCACGACAGAATGTAGTGCGGTTTTCTTTATTTTATTATCCGCTTGGCCGATAGGGCCATAACTTATTTGTCCCTTCGCGAGGGTGACTTCCGCATAGGTTTTAACTCTTTCTTCCATTTTCTTTTCTCTCTCTTCTTCTCTGAGGGCTTGTTTACCCAGTTCGTTCTTTAATTCAGACAGTATCCGTTCCTCTCTCTTCTCTGTTTGTTTTTGGATTTTTAGCCTACATTCTTCAAGTTTTTTATTCTCCTCTTGCAGCCTTCTTATCTGCATTTCCAATTTCACTTCTAGTTTATTAGTTGAAAACAACTGTTCCTCCTCATTTTCTGTTGTTTCCTGCAAGTATTTGTTTTTTAAATCTTCTTCGGCATCTTTCACAAGTTGATAGAGGCGCTTTATGGCTTTAGAGACTCCTGTTTTAATTTCTGTCTTCAAGTTTCTTGAGTCCCCCAAATGGGCCATTGCTTTCAGCAAGCAGTTTTTGGCTTCCATTATTCTCGGTGTTTTCTTCCCTGAAGATATAGGAGAAGCCTCCCCTCTTTTACTCGCTGTTGCAATGGCTTCATTTTTCCTGTTAGGGCTCGTATTTGTGGCCTGCTCCCCTGAGTCAATATTACATCTTATTTCCGGGGTAGAAGCCTCTGCTTTTCTGTCTGGTTGCCTTTGTGGGTGGGTTTTTGGAGGTGTTCGGATACCCATCATCTTTACTACTACGATCTTAATTTGACGCTTTGCGCACCAGTATCGCAGCCGCAATCCTCTACCTGAGTCTCGAGGAGTCGAACAAGCCGTCTCACTTATGTGTTTGTGTGTGAATTTATGTCTTAGTGTGTGTGTGTGTGTGATATCTGCGTGTGTGTGTGTGGTTGCGTTGCGAGTGGGTTCAATCGACTCGCCTTTTTACGGGGAGTCGATAAAGCCGTCACACGTGTGTGTTCCGTGAGGTTGCAGTTTTGCTCCCCCAGGGGGATAGGGTGCGGAGATTTTGTGGGATCTGGGGGTGGGTGGATTGGCAAGCAGTTACAGTAGGGTGATCATAGTTCTAACTCAAACGCTAAAATATGTCGGGAAAGGCGGTCCCCTGTGGAGATGTCAGTGGGGGGTGGAGGGGAAGGGTGTGGGGTATGGTTAGATAGGTCCTAATTAAGGCTTGTTTGCTGTGTATACGTATATACGTATACACGTCCACCGTTATTTTTACGCTATCTCTAACCGTTTTGGAGATATTTTACTTTAAAGAATATTCAAACTTTTGAAATTTTGAAATTTTTTCCAAATTTTAGGGATGAGGGGGAAAAATTTTTTAAATGTTGGAAAGGGGTGGGGCACACGTGGGGGTTGATTTCGTATATTATATTGTCTTTAATATACGAGGATGGGGTCAAAATTAGGCTAGGACGCACCGTTCCCGAGATATTCACGATTTTGTCCCGGTTTTTTCCCTTGGCTTTATCTCCGGTCCTAATGCTCCGATCTTCTATCTTGAAGCGTCGTTGAGTTGGGCTTGTTGTCGGCTTTCCAAGGACGCATGATCGCACCTTCTTTGAAAGTCCTGAATTCACCGACCACGTGCCACGTGGTTTTTGGAAAAACTTTAATAACTCCCCTGTTTCTTGTCCTAAAAATATGTTTTTGGTGTCGATTTGTAGGGCACGTTAGGGACTATCGATGTCTTCTTTTTAATTTATATGTCACCGATCTTGTTTCTGAGATTTAGGCTCCAAAAGACGTAACTTTTTTCTTTTTGACCAAAAAAGCGTCAAAGTTTTTCTCGAAGTTTTTCTCGATATTGTATTTTATTCTCTACGTTTTTGCGCGTAGTTTGACGTATCGCACTTTGTTTTATCACGTCTCCTTCTGTAACCACGTGCCACGTGGTTTTTTGGTTTTTCTTATTTTTCTTGGAGACCGGCTCGCGGAAAAATCTGGATTTTTCCAAAGATGTGGTCCACAATAGGGCGCACCTTTTCCCGCTTTAGAATGTGGGGGTTGTCGCGAAGAATCGGGCGCCGCACGCGGATAATTGTTGAAAAACTTCGAAAAAACGGGTTTTTCCACTATAACTTCCACAATTTTTCATTTATCACAGCACGGTGTGTAGTGCTCACTTTTCCACACACTTTGGTGTATGACACGTCACTATTCGCACGAAAAATACCAATTTTGTGATTTTTTAAAAGCGGAGCTAACTGTTTCGTGACCGTCTAGGACCGCGGCTCGACTGCGACTGGTTAGGTTAGGTTAGGTTAGGTTAGGTTAGGTTTTTTTTTTTTTTTTTTTTTTAATGCACCTAATAGGCCTACCTTCCCCGGCTACTTTATCGCCGGGGGCGTTGTCTAAGCTAACCTTCCATCATTTCTATCATCCTTCCTCAAAATAATTGACACACAGCTTCATTTTTTATTAGGGTTTACACATATCAGTATCACAGTTTCAGTTACATTTTTTATTATCCTATTTTTATCTTTTTCTTTACTCTATCTATTTATCTTTACATTTCTATCACAGTCATTCTTTTATTTACCTACTTATATCTATATCCTTACATTAATTATTTTCAACACATTCCTATCCAGAGACGGGGCCCGCGACGCGGGCGGCTTTTACTTTTCCGTGAGTATTCTTATAATACTCATTGGCAAGTGGGCGCCGGCCGCCTCGCGGTCCCCGCCCCGGCCTTACTCTCATTGAACTTAGCTGTTCTTTTGGTAATTTTTTGGCAAAAATCCTCCAGGTGCGATCTGTTACAGACTAGCATGTCGGGCAGTCCCTGAAGACTAAGCGACATGCCTGTCATCTGTTCCAGGTCGCATCTGGAGGAGGCAAAAATGGGGCACTCCAAAAGTAGGTGTGGGATGGATTGTTCCACCCCATTCTCACATTCGCAGTCCGGTTTTTCTTTCAGCCTGAAACGGCACAGGTACTCGGCAAAGGGCCCATGGCCTGTGAGGACCTGTGCCATCCCGGGACTGAATCTTTTCTCTCGGATTTGTTTATGTGCCCTTGTAATATTTGGCAGGAACAATTTGGTTATTCCCCTGTTATCCCTTCCTTATATCTTCGATCCCATTCTTCTATAGTTTTTCTTCTCACTTCTTTCCTGATGTATGAGAGCGGGTACTCTACGTGAGCTGCTTTGACTTTCGAGGTCTCCGCAGCGGCTCTCGCGAGTTCGTCCGCCCTCTCATTCCCCTCCGTGCCGACGTGCGCTTTCACCCAGTGGAGCTTAATATTCTGGCCCTTTTTAAGGCTCTCCACCAGGTGTCTGCGGATCTCGACTACTCGGGGGTTTCGAGAGCGTCCGCCCGCTATCGCCTCGAGCGAAGACCGCGAGTCGCTGCAGATGTTCACGTCAGTACCCGCTATCATCGCCTCCCTCACTGCACCGACGAGAGCCGCCAGCTCTGCTTGATATACGGTGCAGTAAGTGGCCATCTTTATCTTTTTCCATTTTCGCTCTCTTCCTCTTTCCCATTTCGTCCATGCTGCCCCTACTCCTTTCTCCGTCTTACTACCGTCTGTGTAGATAGCTGTTTTGTCGTCATTTTGTATTAGGCCAGGGTCAGTTGTGATGGCGAAGCTTATTTCCGGTTTTTCCGCGGGATGGGGTTGTTCTAAAGCAGGTACGGCTCGCTCAATCCGGTCTCCTTCGCGTATGAACGGAGACGACCCCCTTCTGGCCTCAAACATCGCGGCGGCTTCTTCCACCCTGAGGTCTAGGGGCAGTATCCCCGCCAATAGCGTCGCGGAATTTAGCGATGCTGTCCTGTAGGTCTTTGCTATTTTCTGTGCAAAAGCCCTCTGCACCGTCTCCAGTTTTTTCTTCGTGCACAGTTTCTTTACTGTCGGTGCCCAGGCTGCCGACGCGTACGTAACTATCGGCTCTATGACGGCTTGGTATACCTGGTGTACCAGGTTAGGTTAGGTTAGGTTAGGTTAGGTTAGGTTAGGTTTTTTTTTTTTTTTTTTTTTGTTTCTAGTAGGCCTACCTCCCCGGCGACTTACGCCCCGGGGCCGAGGAAGCTAAGCTCAAATAAGTTTATTCAGAACAAGTTTTTATATTCATATACAATGGTTAAATTGAACACGGTTGGGGTGGCTGAGGGTTGTTTTTGCTATTTGATACAATTTCCCTTCCCTTAGCCACCCACTTTGAGTCCGCGTCTTAAACTATCTTAATCTATCTTATTACTAATGAGATTACAAATTGTTATTTCTATTATAATAATGGCCAAAGTTGCTCTATAAAGGTTTATACAGGTAAAAATAAAAACTACTAAATAAAACAAAAGGAACTGTTTCTCCTTACAACTATTGAACCTCTGATGATACTTAAAACTATAGTACAGGTAACCTGATTAAGTCAGAGTTTTCTCGTTATATTCAGATAAGTAAGGTAGATGTACATTAACAATAAAAATAAAAATAAAAAATACAGTTTGTTCCATACACGCAGGTATGGCGGGCGTGTTTTCCATCTTAACATGAATGACAAAAAAATAAAAGAGCTAATATTAGTAAAACAAGGGTTGTAAGTTGTAATTATTACTTAAAAGTATACGTGTTCACAATAATTATTATAAACGTTGTCTATAATTGTTATTAAATTGCGAAATATCCATTATTTTGTGATCATGCAAAGTAAGAGAATACAATCATGGCGATACAATGTTATAGTTAAAGTCAGTTAGTACTGATTATTTCTTTATTACTATCCTAGTTATAATAATGGCCAAAGTTGCTCTATAAAGGTTAATACAGGTATAAATAAAAACTACTAAATAAAACAAAAGGAATTGTTTCTCCTTACAACTATTGAACCTCTGATGATACTTAAAACTATAATACAGGTAACATGATTAAGTCAGAGTTTTCTCGTTATATTCAGATAAGTAAGGTAGATGTACATTAACAATAAAAATAAAAAAAATAAAAACGTACAGTATGTTCCATACACGCAGGTATGGCGGGCGTGTTTTCCATCTTAACATGAATGACAACAATAAAAGAGCTAATATTAGTAAAACTAGGGTTGTAAGTTGTAATTATTACTTAAAAGTATACGTGTTCACAATAATTATTATAAACGTTGTCTATAATTGTTATTAGATTGCGAAATATCCATTATTTCATGATTATGTAAAGTAAGAGAATACAATGGCGATACAAAGTTATAGTTAAAGTCAGTTAGTACTGATTATTTCTTTATTACTATATTAGTTATATTGAGGTTGTTACATAGGTGTAATTTTGATAGTGGTAAGCCTTGTAACTTTTACCTCTAATCAGATGTTTTATGTGTTTTGTAGTTCGGTGTTGAATGATTTTAAGTTAGTGATTATGTGTTCAATGGGTTAGGTTAGGTTAGGTTAGGTTAGGTTAGGTTAGGGTTACACATATCAGTATCACAGTTTCAGTTACATTTTTTATTATCCTATTTTTATCTTTTTCTTTACTCTATCTATTTATCTTTACATTTCTATCACAGTCATTCTTTTATTTACCTACTTATATCTATATCCTTACATTAATTATTTTCAGCACATTCCTATCCAGAGACGGGGCCCGCGACGCGGGCGGCTTTTACTTTTCCGTGAGTATTCTTATAATACTCATTGGCAAGTGGGCGCCGGCCGCCTCGCGGTCCCCGCCCCGGCCTTACTCTCATTGAACTTAGCTGTTCTTTTGGTAATTTTTTGGCA